GCATCCATAAAGAAGAACCCGCAGTAGGGCCTACAGATGATTTGTGAGAAGTACTTGTGCGCGAGGAAGACTCGACTCATGTGCTAAAAATTAGGAGCAGTCTGAATAATGAGCTGACAAACAGTTTGGTGGGGTTCCTAAAGAAAAACCTAGACATGTTCACTTGGCTACATGTGGACATGGTAAGGATTAGCCCCAAGGTAATGTGTCACAGATTGAATGTCGACTCAGGGGCTTGACCAATAAGACAAAAGAGAAGATCTATGGATGTTGAGTGATCTAGAACGCTTAAGGATAAAGTTGATAAACTCTTAAACATCAACTTCATCCAGGAAGTAAGGTACCTAGACTGGCTCGCCAACTCAGTCTTGGTGAAGAAGTTGAATGGCAAGTGGCAGACTTGCGTCGACTTCATTGATTTGAACAAGGCCTGTCTTAAAAACAGCTTTCCGCTACCCCAAATTGATCAACTAGTAGATGCGATAATCGGGAACGCACTACTAAGCTTTATAGATTCTTACTCAGGATATAACCAAATCTCGATGTATCAGCCTGATGAAGAGCACACCTTATTTATTACTAACCGGCGTATCTATTGTTACAGGGTTATGCCATTTGGCATGAAGAACGCTGGAGCGACCTATTAGCATTTGGTGAATCAAATGTTCACCGAGCAAATTGGCAAAACCATGGAGGTGTACATTGACGACCAGTAATACTACGCTTACATCAATTTCTCACATCACTCTCTGACATCAGTGCCACGTTATCTGCCACATCAATAAATTACCACGTAATTTTTCCAAATTATAAAAAAAAAAACTCAAAATTTCAATTCCCCCTAAATCTAATATATTTCCCAAAACAAAATCAAAACGTCAAACTTTCTTCTTCCCCTAAATTAGAAATCTCTCTCAAAGTTGCCCTATAATCAATCTTCCACCACTGTCATGCGCAACTCCTCTTCCTAAAATTTTTTTCTCTCTAGTACACTATCTTGATGAGCTCAGCCTCGTTATTCCAGGACGAGCCAATAAGCTGAAGAAATCCTGAGAAGATATTCAGAGAAAGTTGAAAATGGAAATCCAAGAGAGTCATCATAGCTGGCACGAATTGTGGTCGAAGACAGACAACAATCCTAAAAGCAATAGAGTCGGATACAGTGGACCTCTAAGTGGTCTGATAACATCCAACAGCAAGAAGACCCACTGTTACGACAAGAAGACATCAATCATTCGTGACTCCTCGTCTTCCACCACCATGGGCTGCAAGGATTTGTAGATATATGGCCAAGACCCACTGTTATGGCTTGGAAAATAATTGCTTGTTATGCAGCATTTGAGGTTGCCCTTTAGCTTTCTCTGGCTGGAAAAAGGGTTGAGGGCCCAATATCTCCTGCTGGGAACCGACCTGTTTGCAAGGTTTCTGTTACTTGATATCTTCTTCTCTAGAATGCCTTAATATATAGTTGTTCGATGATAATTTTGGTGGACTGTTAGGATTTAACTTCATTAACTCAAAATCGAAGAAATTTTTTCTACTTAATCATGTTGCTTGCATTTATTTTATTGCTTACATTAGCTTACTTTTTTTGTTGATTGGTGCAAGAAAATGGTATGGTAGTATACGCAGTGACACTTGTAACCTATCTAAGCCTTTGGTGGTAAAGGATTTCTCCATCAACTTCTTTTGTTATGAAATTTCAAAATGCTTTAGAACTATGAATTTGATGTTGTTAGAAGGGTTGTTCTGAGTGGAAGCTTTCCACTTGGTTGCTTGTGAGTTGCTACACACTATCAATTATGTCTATACCACTTTTTTTTTTTAATTTATTCAGCCAATGAGTTAGTAACTGTTGTGGCCTGCCTTTCCCTTACAACTGTGTGATTTACCTACTTCTAGTTTTAGTCACCCTCATCGAATATCATCAAGTGCTATTGGTTTATACTTTTATTGTGTTTATTTTCAGGTTAGGCATATTCAATCCCAAAATTGTTTATGATCATTTGGGAGAAATATTTTCAGCACGTATTTTTGGAAGCCTCATTTTTTGTGTTTTCTTATACATGAAAGTGAGGATTTAAATTTAAGCTTGCTGTAATACATTTGTGTGTGGTTTGTGTGGCTGGTGGGAGGGACTGGCGATTGGGGGGTGTTTTTGGTGCTGGGGTGGTTGGCTTTGTGGGAAGAGGTGACAGCTGCATTGAGGCAGCTGGCGCTAAGGTCTTTGTGCGTTGCTATAGACTCATTTTCTCCCCTACTGCTACAATTTTTTTTTAACAGTAGGGGGCTGTTCTTGTTGCTTTTTTGATGTTGGCTGTCCATTCTTGCTGCTGTGTTGTTACTTGGATGTTGCTGCTGTGGTTTGTAGAGTGGGGCTATGGCTGATTCACTTCTCCAGTTGATTTTTTTGTGCTATTTTATTGGCAATTTTATGCTCCTGCTCCAGGTGTTTTTTGGTGTCTTGTGTTGTGGCTACTACTGTTCTCTTGGCTGTTTAAAGACTTTTTTGGTTTTCCATCCCTAGATGGTTTCTTTTGGCTATTTAAGGGGTATGTAAAAGGTGTACATTCTGACTCCTTTGCTTTCTTTTGTTAGGTGGCGTTCCTTGCTTGTTTAGGGTCGTGCGCAGAGTATAGGAAGATGGTTGAGAAATTGTAAAAACTTCCTTTTGTTTTCTTGTATTAAGCAGAGAATAAAAAATGTATCTTTGTTGATTGTACTATATTATGTTTTGTGGATTAATTTGCAATAAACAAAAGCACTTAGTAACTTGTTATAAATTTATGCAGATTTTTTAACTCAAGATAGTAAGTGATCATTCATAGGAGAGTTAGAGATGATTCAAAACAAGTGTTACAAACTTTAAATGATGCATTCATAATCTCTTATTTCCACCCTAATAAGACTTCAATTACTTGTTAGATTTTTTTGTCATGAAACTTAAAATAAAATGTACATCCAAGAGAAAAATTCATCCAATAATAAAATAGAATCTCAATGTTGCATTATAAAAACTTGTACACAACATACATTATAACATATATTATAAAAACGTGTACACAACATACATTACAGTAGTAAGAAAATAAAGTGATGAGCTGGTTATTTTTATCAGTATCAATACTCTCCTCCGATCAGTTGCAGCAAGCAAAAACCCAATCCAGCCACTAAAAACTTTAGCAGCAGCTCATGAAAAGTGAAGGGAAACAGGCCAAACCAAGCTGCTGTCAGCAGCCATGGGACACATCACCCACTGTAGCAGAAAAAAAAACTAGCCTCCCAATAAGGATTACCCCAACTCATAGCAACCCTCAACCCCTCCACTTGCTTGTACCCTTTCCAGCCCCAACCACACCAAAAAGAAAAGCTAAAAACAATACCACTTAAAGTAAAAGAACAATTAAAAATCATGCTTAAAGTGACCACCCCCAACCACACCAGCTGCATATTGCTAAACCATACTTCATATGCAAAGTGAAAGAACATAGAGAGTGTGATAGAAGTAAAGTGAAGTACCACCAACTATATATTGCAAGACCATACTTTAATCAATAATTTGCATCTACAGGTGATGGCCTGTAAGTGACGGACAGTTCACTATAACCCTAGGCAGTGAAAAGACAACAACATTAATATTATAGCCTAAAACACAGTTCAACCTAAAGGATTCACACCTGATTTAATACAGGGACTCATGCTTCACGTGGGTGGACATTACTCGCATATGCACCAGCTTCAGTTGATTCTTGGGAACTCCTAGCCTGCAATCAAATTAAATTTATAAGTACATAACATTTATTAACATATTTTAAACGTTATAAAATTAGATGTGACACTCACTTGGTTAAGCAACTTCTTCCCTTTAAATTTACGTACAATCTACTCGACATTTGATTGCTTTCTTTTGAATGGAGGTCGACCTTTCGTACGAACAACTCGTGGAGTTAGAATGTTATTGCTGCCCTTTATGGAAGTAGAGTGAACACTATTGCAGTCCTGGAGACCTTTAAATGACATGTTTATGCATCTTTTAGTCCCGCCAACACCAACATTCGATACTAATTTGTTCTTCATGTCACTAATCATTTGCATGACTATATTACAATCATCGTCATTGCTTGATGCCAAATCTGCCACCTCACATAATGAATTAGACAACTTATCAAATCGTTGTCCTTTAAGAGTCGTGCTCCAACTATTATAACTTATCCTAACTTTGGTGTGACATCTGTATACATTTTTCTTCCACTGCCTTACAATGTATTTTTCTGGTATAAGATAATTTTTTTTATGAATCAACACTGCAATTGCATGTCGACATAAAATCCCTCTAAACTCAAACAATTGACAATTGCAACAAACCTCAGAAACACGTTCATCAAAGCAAACTACAAAAGGAACATGATGGTAACTCTCTCCAACCAATACATCTTCCTCGACTACATATTCGATATTGGAATCAGTCTCCTTGAAAGAATGAATCTGACAATAGAGCTTAGCAACAAGCTCTTTTTGAAACTCTTTGAATTTTGCAGTAGTGTATACATCTTGAAATTGTTTCTCTATCGGATAAGTGGTTATACAAGGATCCATGATTTGAATGACTTGAAATCAGCTTCATTTTCTTTTTCCACTTTATCACGCAATGCGTTCTTATATTGTTCCACAAATTATTTTAATGTGGTTTTCGAATTTACATACCCATCGAAAAATGAATACATACTTTCACTACGTTGAGTAGTAGACACACCTGCCCAGAAAGTATCTTTCAGAAATGTTAGCACCCACCGATATCTTTCATTATACAAACCAAGTAACCAGTCATTTTCGTGAAGGCTTTGTTTATCAATGAACCTATTCCAACGTTCTTCAAACTCCTCACGCGTCAATGAATCATACACGACATTTTGCAAAGCAAACTTTATATGTTCATATTCACAATAACCACTTAACTTTTCCGGCAACTTCTTCATTATATGCCACAAACACCATCTATGTCATGTATCGGGAAACACAATCTCGATTGCATTTTGCATTGCCTTGTCATGATCAGTGATTATAGCCTTAGGAGCAGAATTCCACATACATGCAAGCCAAGATTCAAAAAGCCATACAAAAGTTTGTGTGTCCTCATGGGAGACTAACCCACAACCTAACAATGTGGAATGGCCGTGATGGTCAACACAGACAAATGCAACAAACAGCATATCATACTTGTTAGTCAAATATGTCGTGTCGAATATGACAACATTGTCGAATTCCCTAAATGCGGCCCTACTTCTTGCATCCACCCATAGAACATTCTGCAATCGACCATCCTCATCTAAATCCATAACATAGAAGAAATTTGGATTATCCTTTTGCATCTTCAGAAAATATTTTTGGATTGTAGTAGCATCTCCAGCACCAAGTAGGGTCTTCCTAACCTTTTCAATGTAATTCCTATAATCCTTTTGTAAGAAAGTCAAATTCTCAGCATCACCAGCTTCAACTAATAAGGAATTAAAATTTTTATTAGGTCTAATCCCAACCCTATTATTCACTTCGAGCTTCCTTTTCATATACGGCTATATAATTCGATTGCTCTTGAAAAATCTAGTTTTGCTTAGACCATTGAATTCATGGTTATGCTCATAGATGATCGACACTATTTCCCATTTTCCATCAGAACGTCGAGATGCAATACAACGAGCCTTAAAACCACTTTTTGTCAATGGTACCATTTTACAAACATTTCTGGAGTTACTTTCTCGCTTCCCACCACAAGAACAAGCCATATTTGCATAAATCAACTCCCCATCAACTCTTTTTCTTGAAGATCTTATAGCAACTTCAAACCCCATTTCATTCCCATAGCTCTTGTAGTATTGGAAAAACTTATCAAACGATTCATAAAACATTCTAGATTCAGGTTTGCATTCCTCTTCTAAACTACTGTTATCTTCCATTTCTTGAAAATCATTATCCTAATATATTGAAATTATAATAGCCTAAAATTAGAATACAATAATACTAAGAAAAGGTAGAAATAATACCATTAAAGGAATTACAGTCATATTAATGAATAAAAAATAGATTACAAAGACAAACTTACCTCCACCATATTGAATTGAGAGGAATGGTTCCCTGCTTTTTTCAAGTTACACTCCTCTATCTTTAAAGTGGTGGTGGAAGGGGATGAGCAAACACCGATCGTTTATGGTAGTGGTGAGGTTTGAATTGGTCATGCTGCAAAAGACACTGAATGTGTAAAACGGTTGTGATTGGTGGTGGTGGCGTGCTCAATGAAGAAGTTTGCATATACAAAAACTTTTAATGTAAACAATAAAACCTATATTAAAGCAATCAATCTTCTTGCAACAGAAATATATGCACTACAGACCAGAAAATAAACCCATGAAACATTGCATCGGAATCTTCCTTTTACCAATAAAAGAGAAAAAAAAAATGTAAATATATATTACTAAGTATCCTAAATCATTCCAAACTTACAGTTCTAATTCCCCTAAGAAGGCACACACTCGAGCTTAAAATCATATAAACAACGCCTAACCTTATGGGTACAACGTTTTGGAACCCAGTAAGTGGGAAATAATCACTTTACAGGTGCAGCACTGCTTTTCCAATTATGACCCCAGATTGGGACCTCGTTATAGCAAGTGATATTTTATTGTGTAAGTATTTACTTTTTCTGCTTCTACATAACTATCATGTGTACTCTGGACAAAGCTTAAACTGATTTTCTTACCAATATAGTATTGTGCCCATCAGATTCAAACTATTCTTTTGAATTCTTGAGTTTCATTTTTTAATTTCTCTCCTAAAAATGCATCAACGTGTTTCTTTTTTATGGCTGCTTGTAGATGTAAAACAGTACCCAAACTTGATAAAATCTCTTTCCTTTCTACTCAAATCTTACAAGCCAAAATATAACAAAGCATACCTTCTCACGGAGAATGAGCAGAATGATGGTAACGTGCTAATTGTTTCTTTTTTCTGATTTTATTTCCAAGAAATTAGAAACTGATTGATCATTGCGCTACTTCTTCCTAATCTTTAAGGAAAATTGGAGAGAGATTTTAGTGTTTGTATTTTGGAGAAACTAAGATTCGATTTGGGGTTTGTTTTAGGTACATTGAGAGTTGAAATTTTGGAGAAACTGGGATCGATTTGGGGTTTGTTTTAGGTAAATTGAGAATTGAAATTTTGGGCTTTGAGAGGGATTTCTAATTTAGGGGAAGAAGAGAGTTTGATTCAGATGATTTTGTTTTGGGAGAGAGATTAGATTTAGGGGGAACTGAAATTTTGGGTTTTTTTTTTTTAATTTTTTTTATAATTTGGCGGGAAATTGCATGGCTTTTTGATGATGTGAGAGAGTGATGTGAGAAGGTGGTGTAAGCCTAGTATTACTGCATTGACGACATGCTCATCAAGTTGAAGGTTGTCAAAAACCACACCGAGGACCTGGGGAAATGTGCGGTATCCTCAAAAAATACCAAATGAAATTGAACCTTCTGAAGTGCGCTTTTGGGGTAACCTCAAGGAAGTCCAAAAACTTCCTTGTAAATTAGGGAGGTGTTGAAGCCAACTCAGACAAGATTCAAGCTCTCTTGAACATGAAGAGTCTGGCTAGTATTAAGTAGGTTCAGAGTTTGACAGGGCAAGTGGCTGCATTGAGCACGTTCATTTCCCAAGCTATAGATAGGTGCATGCCTTTCTTTGAAACTCTAAAGGGTAACAAGGGTTTCAAGTGGACAGAGGAGTGTGAGAAAGCATTTCAGGAGTTGAAGAGGCATCTGGGGCAGCCTCATTTATTGTCAAAGCCCATCCTAGGCGAGCCTTTATCGTTATACTTATTGGTATCCAAGTTTGTGATCAACATGACTTTGGTACGCGAAGAAGGGGAAGTGTAATGGCTAGTGTACTATGTGAGCAACCGGTTGCTTAATGTCAAGACAAGGTATCCTAAGATGGAGAAGCTCGCCTATGCACTCATCATAACCGCTCGGAAGTTGCGACCCTATTTTTAGGTACATTCGATACATGTTCTGAAAAATTTTCCACTGAGAAAGATAATACAGAAGCCCGAGACATTAAGTAGATTAATTCAGTGGACTATAGAGATAAGTCAGCACGACATCAAGTATATCCCAAGAACCGCGATCAAAGGACAGACTTTGGCTGATTTCATCTCAGAATTCTCCTACCAGCCCGATAGGGAGATAAGCCCGCCTGAATCAAGCACCTCAAGAGAAAACAAGCCAGCAAAGCCAAAGCTTGATAGTTTATGGCAGTGGACCTTGTGCGTGGATGGGTCCTCGCATGAGAAGGGGGCGGGAGCTAGGCTTTTGCTTGAAAGTTCTAAAGGAAACCCAATCTGAGCTGCAGTCAGATTTGGGTTCACCGTCTCGAATAATGGGGCAGAGTATGAAGTCATGCTCGCGAGGATCTGCCTTTCAAAAGAAATGGGTGCAGAGTTAATTAAAATATACAGCGACGCTAAGCTCGTGGTCCACCAAATTTTTGGAGAGTATTAGGCAAAAGAGGACAAATGGCGTCCTATCTTTGGAAGGTAAAATTCAAACTCGAGCAATTTAAGACTTATGCTTTTCTACAGATCCCTAGGGAAAAGAATTAAGTGGCCAATGCTCTAGCTCACCTGGCTTCAGCAATGAGCAAAGAAGCAACTGATTTCATTCTTATTAAATTCCTCCCAAGTTCAAGCATCTTTTCGTCACAAGAATCAGTTTTGGTAACAGGGCAAAGGTATAGCTGGATGGATTCAATAATCGTGTACTTGAGAGATGGAACAATGCTCGAGGGAAGAAATGAAACCAAAACCCTTCGAGCAAATTCAGCTCGGTATACGCTTATCAATGATAGGTTGTATAAGCAAGGTTATAATTCCCCGCTCTTGCGATGTGTTGATCATGAAAATGTAGAGTATATCTTGAAGGAAATCTACGAGGGTATATGTGGAAACTATACCAAGGGCTGATCTTTGGCATATCAAGTACTCTGTCGCAAATACTATTAGTCGATAGTCTTCGATGATGCGACTGATTTCGTACGAAAGTACGACAAATGTCAGAGGTTTGCAGATATTTCGCGAGTTCCACCCCAAGAGTTAACTACTTTGACAAGCTCATGACCGTTCGTGATCTGGGAGATTGATCTGATAGGCCCATTGCCTTAAGGAAAAGGAGGCGTCAAGTTCGCAGTGGTCGCAGTTTATTACTTCACCAAGTGGGCAGAAGCCGAGCTTTTAGCCACCATCACTTCAGACGGGCTTAAGGATTTTGTCTACAAGAACATCATTTGTAGATTCGGAATCCCCCATATCATCATAATCGATAATGGGAAACAATATGATTGTGAAGATTTCTAATCGTTCTGTGAAAAGCTTGGAATCAAGAAAAGCTTCTCCTTTGTCTATTGGCCCTAAGCCAACAATCAAGTAGAAGCTGTTAATAAAGTAATCAAGCACACCATCAAGAAGAAGCTCGACTCTCTCAAAGGATTGCAGAAGAACTGCTTGAGGCCTTATGGTTGTATAGAATGATTGTCAAGAGCTCGACAAAAGAGACCTCGTTATCGCTTTCTTATGGATGCGAGGCAATGGCCCCGGTAGAAGTGGGGTTTAGTTCGTTTTGAAGAGAGGTCTTCGATAAAGAAACAAACGAAGGATTGCTTCCTATCAATAGTGAGCCAAAAGGTACTTCAACTTCAAGGTCAAGAATCAAGACTTCAGGGTGGGCGACCTTGTTTTCAACCTAGTTAGTAAATACGGGTACGGCAAAAAAAGGTACGGGTATAATACGGTAAACGGTAAAAAATACGTTTATAAAAATTCGGTCATAAAATTCGGATACGAAAAAAATACGGTACGGGTTTAATACGGTGTATTGTCAATAATACGTTTTGAAAAATACGGTAATATCAATCTTAGTTTTAACACTTTTATGGACTACCTGGTTAAAATCAACATAACATTTCAAACGCAAAGTATTCAATTAACCAATAACACAAATACACAATATATAACTGATATTCAAATTATAGTCTCCAGACTCAAACACAATATTTAGCCAAGATTCAACTATAGTGTCAAATTAAACACATAAGTCATAACAGAATTGGGTTATGAGATGTGATAATTTTAACGCTACTGATGAGTGATGAGCCCTCTTCTGTTTTTCAGGCCTTGGGATAAGAGGGTTAAAATTAATCTAGTACTATAATCAAACTATTTTGAAGTATATTTATTTATTGGTTATAATTGGATTATATAGTATATTTATTTATTTGAATATAAGAAATAATTTTTATTTTACAATTAAATAATAGAGAGTCACATATTTTAATAGGCTGAATGACATTTTCTCAACCCAAAGTTTGGCGAATCTACATTTTCCCACCCATTATTAAAATTCTTACGTTAGTTTTAATGGTTAAAAGACATTCTTGTCAGTCTAGTCTGCACAAATTTTATTATAAAGTTAATATTACTTACCGCCCTAAAATACAAATAGATGGTAATTACCTTCATTAACTTGGAAATTAGTCACTTAAACTCCTATCTTCAATTTCTATTAAAAATTATATTTTTATTAAAAATCAGGTTATTAAATAAAAGAAAAGTTAAGTTTTATAAAAATAAAATAAAATAAAATGTATAAATTAATAAATAACCATTTTTAATAATTAAGAAAAAAAATCAAATTTAAAAAAAAATTAAAAAAAAAAATAAAATTGCCCCAGCCCCTTTTATCCTTCTCCCACACCCTACCGCCACAAAATCCTCCACCCCCAATATTTGCCCCAGCCCCTTTTATCCTTCTCCCACACCTTACCGCCACAAAATCCTCCACCCCAATATTCTTTCAGGCTTTCAAACTTACCAGTACTATTTGTTCCCTTGCTTGCTCTTCGCTTTGCCGCTCAAAAA